TAGTCGACTGGTGTGAGTCGCATCCTGGATACAAAATTGACCTAATTTGCTCGAAATGCATCATGTACTTGCAGAAATAAAGATTAAGAATAAAAATAATATTATTATTGGGTTCCTTGTAAAAAAGGCAGCTAATGTACAATTGGTACAGTTTCAAAATATAATTGAGATAAATTATGATGAAAATAAAATTGAGTAAAGTATATGGACTGAACACATCGACTCCAGGCTGAGGGACTGATTACCTCATACTCCTCCTCTCCATACGCCTTCCTCTTTGTATTGGACTGATGAAGCCACTGTGGCGAAACGTTTCCTGAATAAAGATTCCCATATGCTGTATAAGTGTCTTAATCTTCAACTTGTCGGTTTTTCAAACCATTCATCACAACTGTCAGACACTGCAGCATCATGGGATCTTGTTACAAAGAATTCTTCAACACTTGTTCAACCTTTGGACGAAGACCTACTTCGACTAGTGGATGGTACCACTATGACCCCGCCTCCGCCTGCTTCACCTCACCTCACTACAGTATATAAGCCACGTCTACGGCCCTATGCTGTACATTCTACAAGATTGATGGACTGAACACATCGACTCCAGGCTGAGGGACTGATTACCTCATACTCCTCCTCTCCATACGCCTTCCTCTTTGTATTGGACTGATGAAGCCACTGTGTGGCGAAACGTTTCCTGAATAAAGATTCCCATATGCTGCATAAGTGTCTCAATCTTCAATTGTCCAAGTTACCCTAAAAGACCATAGAAAACATAATTCCTTAGAATTATAAAAGAAAATGTCATTTGAATGACCAAAATATGAAAGATTTTATATTATGAAGTCTTAGTAAATATAGAATTAAAGGATCGGTGAGTTAATCGGTAATTAATTTGCTTTAAAATGTTAAGACTCCAATGGAAATAAATGTCTGATTTTTTGGGGGTTATCCAAGGTTCTCTACATATATTCTGCTATGTATAGTAAGTTTATTCAGGTATACACAAATACAGTTACATAGATTATCATACATAGCAACATATGTGTAGAGAACCTGGGATGACCTAAAAATGTTTCTTTACACCGGTTGTCTATGTTCACTCATCACCACAATGTGTACCTGGCAGTTAGTGGACTGGTGTGGGTCGCACCCTGGGTGTTAGTGGACTGGTGTGGGTGGCATCCTGGGTGTTAGTGGACTGGTGTGGGTCGCATCCTGGGTGTTAGTGGACTGGTGTGGGTCGCATCCTGGGTGTTAGTGGACTGGTGTGGGTCGCATCCTGGGTGTTAGTGGACTGGTGTGGGTGGCATCCTGGGTGTTAGTGGACTGGTGTGGGTCGCATCCTGGGTGTTAGTGGACTGGTGTGGGTCGCATCCTGGGTGTTAGTGGACTGGTGTGGGTCGCACCCTGGGTGTTAGTGGAGTGGTGTGGGTCGCATCCTGGGTGTTAGTGGACTGGTGTGGGTCGCACCCTGGGTGTTAGTGGACTGGTGTGGGTCGCATCCTGGGTGTTAGTGGACTGGTGTGGGTCGCATCCTGGGTGTTAGTGGACTGGTGTGGGTCGCATCCTGGGTGTTAGTGGACTGGTGTGGGTCGCACCCTGGGTGTTAGTGGACTGGTGTGGGTCGCACCCTGGGTGTTAGTGGACTGTTGTGGGTCGCATCCTGGGTGTTAGTGGACTGGTGTGGGTCGCACCCTGGGTGTTAGTGGACTGGTGTGGGTCGCACCCTGGGTGTTAGTGGACTGGTGTGGGTCGCATCCTGGGTGTTAGTGGACTGGTGTGGGTCGCATCCTGGGTGTTAGTGGACTGGTGTGGGTCGCATCCTGGGTGTTAGTGGACTGGTGTGGGTCGCACCCTGGGTGTTAGTGGACTGGTGTGGGTCGCATCCTGGGGTAGTGGATGGTGTGGGTGCACATCCTGGGTGTTAGTGGATGGTGTGTGGTCGCATCCTGGGTGTTAGTGGACTGGTGTGGGTCGCACCCTGGGTGTTAGTGGACTGGTGTGGGTCGCATCCTGGGACGAGGACCTAATTTCCCCGAAATGCTATGCACAACAAGGGGCTTACTGTATAATAGTATGTCATTGATGTCAGCTGTTATCTGCATATCTTGTACAAGTAGTAAATAAAGATATTATTATAGTAGCATGTCACTGATGTTAGCTATGGTCAATTTACCTTGTACTTATTTTAAAATAAATGGTTTATAATAATTAATAATTTAATAATAATAATAATAATTAAAAATAATAATATAATAATTATTATTATTATTTTATTATTATTATCCATCATCATCATCATCATCATTGCTGGCTGGGTATCTAACCCGGGATCTTTCTCTGTCATGACCATGAGCTACAAGTTTCTCTCTCATAATTAATTCCACTATGATCAAAAGTTTTCGTTTCCAAATATTGTTACACGAGTTTAACTGCAAACACTACAACTTTATACATATATAGCTCCTTTAAAGGTTAATATTATCTTTTAATTACTGAATTACGACCAAATTCAACCGAGAACTAATTTGACATTGATGGGTAAGCACTAACCCATAGGCCTACATGGCGATTGGTGGAATAGGAGACTAAAAGATCTGAGTCAAGGTAAGCTGCTCAATATCTCCAATTTCTTGGATCAAGAGTTTTCGAGCAGCAAGATATGAGGTGCAGTGATGGTGTTAGTAGTGTAAGCGACGGCGATGTGTTGTCTGCCGAGGTGGTAGGTACCCGCTGCCACCTTCACTCACCATTTATTCACCTGATTACTCCCCGGTCAACCTGAGGCAGCAGTGCACAGGTGAGCCTCCCTGTGCAACTGCTCTAGGTAGCAGTTGCTGGTGGTGATTCTAACTGAAGACCTAGAACCCTGTTCTTACCTTTGTCACTACAGGCATTTGTAGTCTGTTGGGCCACTTGGCAGGTTCTTCCTGTCTTAGTTATAATGATGAACTTGTTACTAACTCAGTTATAATGACAAACTTGTTGATGAATAACTTGTATAATGACTAGCTTGTTCGTAATTCACAATTATAATTACCAACTTGTTCGTAATTCACAGTTTTAATGACAACTTGTTCTTACTTCAGTTATAATGACGAACTTACACGTTAATAACGTATATAATGACAAACTTGTTCTTAATTAACAGTTATAATGACTAGTTCTTAACTAACAGTTATAATGACTAGTTCTTAACTAACAGTTATAATGACTAGTTCTTAACTAACAGTTATAATGACTAGTTCTTAACTAACAGTTATAATGACTAGTTCTTAACTAACAGTTTTAATGACTAGTTCTTAACTAACAGTTATAATGACTAGTTCTTAACTAACAGTTATAATGACTAGTTCTTAACTAACAGTTATAATGACTAGTTCTTAACTAACAGTTATAATGACTAGTTCTTAACTAACAGTTATAATGACTAGTTCTTAACTAACAGTTATAATGACTAGTTCTTAACTAACAGTTATAATGACTAGTTCTTAACTAACAGTTATAATGACTAGTTCTTAACTAACAGTTATAATGACTAGTTCTTAACTAACAGTTATAATGACTAGTTCTTAACTAACAGTTATAATGACTAGTTCTTAACTGTTATAATGACTAGTTCTTAACTAACAGTTATAATGACTAGTTCTTAACTAACAGTTATAATGACTAGTTCTTAACTGTTATAATGACTAGTTCTTAACTAACAGTTATAATGACTAGTTCTTAACTAACAGTTATAATGACTAGTTCTTAACTAACAGTTATAATGACTAACTTGCTCTTAATTCACAGTTATGACTATCTTGTGCTTAACTAGCATTTATAATGACTAACTTGTTCTTTACAAACATATATGACTAACTTGTTCTTAACTCGATTATAATAACTAACTTGTTCTTTACTCAGTTATAATGATTAATTTGTTATTTACTCAGTTATAACGATTAATTTCTTTACTCACACTTATAATGATTAACTTGTTCTTTCACTCAGTTAATTTTATTAACTTGTTCTTCCTGTTATTAATGATTAACTTGTTACACTCAGTTTATAACTTTCTTTTCGTTCCGTCCATATGCTTATCCTTGGATATCTACAATGGCTCCTTTTTACGATCTCATGTTACAGTGGTCTTTCCTGTCAACCTAGCCTAATTACTTTGTTTCTTTGTTAGGAAAGTTTTAATTATTATTTAAGTTTCTGCAGAATAATGTTTAAGAAGTATGGTTTTTCTATTTTCCTGTTTTTTGTTGTTTTCATTTTAGGCTTTTTTTGGTTTTAAGTTTTTTCTCAGGATGATGCCTCTTAATTTCTATGTCTAGTTACTGTATCTATTTTCTTATCTTTTTTTTTTATCAATGTTTTTGTCTGTTTCTGTATTTCTATTTCTGGACACTCATTTTTTTGTCCATCTCTTGTCCTTCCATCCCATTTCCTCTTTCTTTATTCGCTTCTCTTTTTCATTCCATTTATCTTCTCAATGTCCTCCATAATCCATCTTCATCTCTCTCCATTTATACTCTATCATGACAAATGTAATTACATAAAGTACGTGCAGAAAATATTTAATTAGAATATTCGTGTAGCATGTAATTTTTATAGTTTTTTTTTCATATATTCAATTTAATATGATAATTATTTTGATTTTATTCCAAGTGATGATCTTCTAACATAATTATGTATGTCTAGTAACATGATGTCTAAGTTTAGTAATTAAACTTCAATTTAACCAAGACAGGAAATAGAAAAAAGTCCTGGTTCAGTTTATTTGCAAATACAATAGTTCCAATTGAGTTAGAGTACGTTTTTGATTGTTATGAGTGACAAAACTCTTGTCTCTGTCCACTACAGTAACCATTAGCAGCCACCTGCTTACATTATTGTTCTCTTAAATTGGGGATTTATTGTACTGCTCAAAGTGATGATCTTCATGAAGACACACATTCATGTCTATGCAAATTATACAGTGTAATAATGGAAATTTATTTATTCGTTTGCAGAAGCTGGTAGAAGAAGAAATCAAAATCAGCAACCATGCACGGTAAGTAAATGTTTCTACTGTGTTATCACAGCTCATTTTTTTTATACTGTATTAATACATTATCATTATTATTATTATTATTATTTATTATTATTATTAGTAGTAGTAGTAATAGTAGTAGTATTTTATTAGTTTTACTGTTTTTTTAACATGTCAGCCATTCCCACCAAGGCAGGGTGACCCAAAAAGAAAGAAAAAACTTTCATCATTCATCACTTTCGCCATCACACATACATAATCACTGTCTTCACAGATTCAGGAAGGATATAGGAAAGTACTGGTTTGGTAATAGAGTTGTGGATGAGTGGAACAAACTCCCGAGTACAGTTATAGAGGCCAGAACGTTGTGTAGCTTTAAAAATAGGTTGGATAAATACATGAGTGGATGTGGGTGGGTGTGAGTTGGACCTGATAGCTTGTGCTACCAGGTCGGTTGCTGTGTTCCTCCCTTAAGTCAATGTGACCTGACCTGACTAGGTTGGGTGCATTGGCTTAAGCCGGTAGGAGACTTGGACCTGCCTCGCATGGGCCAGTAGGCCTTCTGCAGTGTTCCTTCGTTCTTATGTTCTTATATGACAGTTTAAACGTCTGTCCAAACTGCCAATATCCCAAGCCCCTTCTTTAAACTGCAGGCATTGTACTCCCCACCTCCAGGACTCAAGTCCAGCTACCCAATTTCCCTGAATTCCTTCACAGAATATTACCTTGCTCACACTCCAACAGTTTGTCAGGTCCCAAAAACCATTCGTTTCCATTCACTCCTATCTAACACACTCACGCACGCTTGCTGGAAGTCCAAGCCCCTCGCCCATGAAACCTCCTTTACCCCCTCTCTCCAACCTTTTCAGGGATGACCCCTACCCCTTCTCCTTTGATCAACCCAATTACACAAATAACCCGCACATAGAAGAGAGGAGCTTACGACAACGTTTCGGTCGGTGACTTTGTAAATGGTCCAAGTCGGACCGAAACGTCGTTGTAAGCTCCTCTCTTCTATGTGCGGGTTATTTGTGTATCGTTCCAGTCATGGTTTTGTGCCTGTTTTTGTTATCAACCTAATTACTCCCATTCCCCAGGCAGGGTATGTCTGCTAAGGATTTAGTGTTTCCTCAGAGTTGTACAGTAATTAGAACTGGTTTTCCTTCCAATAAAGACAATACGTACAGGTACAACACCAGTTTACTGGAAGTGGATTGTCCAGCACCTGTTTTAGTCCGGATCAAATTGCAAGACTACTCTTTTTGCCAAAATAGTTTGCCTGGTGGCCATAGATGGCATTGTATGTAATGCTTGCTTACTTATATTTTTTATACTGCAGTTATTGGTGGTGATCCCTTGATTCTGTGCAACTCTTAGCATATTTTGCTAACAGTTAACCCTAGTTATGGCTAGTGATTAGCTCTGCAGTTCCAGTAAAATTCTTAAAGTTACCACTTTGGGAGTGGCAGTACTGCAACATTGTAAGTACAGTATTAAATAAACCAGTTTCATTTATGCTAATGTTTAATTTAAGTTTCCAGGAGACCATGGTGAATTATTATTGTGTGACTTCTCTTGGTCTGGCAAAATCAACATATACAGTGGTCCCTCGCTTTTCGTAGTTCTCGGCAATCGTAAATTTCGCCAATCATATGGGTATTTTCGTATAAACATGGACTCGCTTTTCATAGGTTGACCAGCGAATAGTAGTTCGTCCGGGACGCATACGCACGGTGTGAGCCGGGGCGGCCTCCCTACCCAGCCAGTCTGTCATTGTTTACCAGTGAGTGAAGGTCTCCTCAAGTGCTCCTACGAGATATTTCATAATATTCCACTCATTTTAGTGCTTGCAAGTACTAAATAAGCTACCATGGCTGCAAAGAAAGCTCCTAGTGCCAAGCCTGTGATAAAGAAGGTGAGAAGTATGTACAGTGACAAAGTCTTGGGCCATTTTAGGGACATGTTAAAGAGATGCCAGAAACAGAGCTCTCTCCACAGTTACTTTGTGAGACAGGACTAGAGTGACTCTCAAGGTGGTCCTAGTGACATTAAGAAACAGAGAAGAGAAGCAACCCCAGAGAAGCAATTGGTACCTGAGGTGTTGCTGGAAGGGGATTCCCCTTCCAAACTATAAACAATCCAATCTCTCTCCTCCAGTCTCCCATACACTAAGAAGAATCTCCAATAAAGGTAAGTGTTATGCTGTTAATGTTTCATTCATCATTTCCCATTGTATTGTTTATGTACTACATGTTGTTAGGTAAGACACATATGCAACAGTTAGGTATCTTTATTTCGAAACGTTTCGCCTACACAGTAGGCTTCTTCAGTCGAGTACAGAAAAGTTGATAGAAGCAGAAGATACTTGAAGACAATGTAATCAGTCCATCACCCTTAAAGTTTTGAGGTGGTCAGTCCCTCAGTCTGGAGAAGAGCATTGTTCCATTGTTCCATTGTACTACATGTATATTTCATGTAAAATTTTTTTTTGTTTTAATACTTCTGGGTGTCAGGAACGGATTAATTGTATTTACATTATTTCTTATGGGGAAAATTGATTCGCAAATCATAAATTTCGTTTATAGTAGCTCCTCCAGGAACGGATTAATTACGAAAAACGAGGGACCACTGTACTGGCAAAGCCAAGGAGCCAAGGGTGCCGGAAAATTGATGTTTTACCTGTACAGTGGAACCTCTCCTTACGAATTTAATCTGTTCCGTGACCTTGTTCATATCTTGATTTGTTCGTATGCTGGGTTATTTTTTATGACATGATAAACAATATTAATAACATAGAAACATGCTATATACTCTAGAATGAATAAAATAGGCCATAATATGGCGAGTGATGGCGACGCTGGCAGCGGCAGAAAGCGTTTGCCATTTACTCTCCCACTCTAGTATCTTCCTAGTCCATAACCCCACAACTAGCTTGTGTTTAACTATGATTAGTGGTGAGGTTGTCACATATGTAACCACAGGTGTGGTCAAGATAGATGTATATGTAGGTGAAGATGTAATCACTGTGGCCTCAGTGGTGGTGGTGGTGCCAGTGATGGTGGTGGCTTTCAGCTGCCTCACTCTGCTGCTGCCTCACTGCTGCTACCTTCTTCGTTTCTCTAGCTTTTTTCATAATTTCTAATCACTTACTGAGCTTCTTGCTGATCGTACGTGAATACTGCCTCTTCAGGCGAGGCATTGTGTAAGAAATTTGTACAATATAAGGCAAAATTACGTGTCTCACGGGTCTACTGCAGTCACTTAGAGCGACATACCTCCTCTTCCTTTTGACCCTTGGTCGGCATTGAGATAGCAGTGGTCTCGCAGTAGCGAAAGCCACCCATGGGTTTACCAGTTTATATTTTGAAGCACTTGGCACAAAAATGTGAAAAAGTTACGAAAAATGTCTAAAAATGACAACATATTATTATTATTATTATTATTATTATTAATTTAGGGAACTGGAGCACAGATCCAGTTCCCTAGATCAAGAGCCCTTCACCATGTATGTACTACTACTACTACTACTAATAATAATAATTATTATTATAATAATAATAATGCAATATAATAGTAATAATCATGATAGTGGCTTTCTTTGTTCCAATCATGTTATGATATGCAAACACACATTGTAACCTTTGTAAAGAAATAAATATTTATTTATTTAAGGAACCTCCCTTGAGGGGAAAGGACGCATTCTGAAATTTCATTCGTATCCAGTAGCAAAAATTTGCATGGTGGGGCATTCGTAAGCAGAAGTTCCACTGCATTTCATTCTGGAAATTTGTGAAGAAAGTATAAATTTGTATTTTGTGAAGCCAAGTTTGAGGCTGTGAGGTGACTAGATGCATAAAAAGTGATCTCCAGTATCATATTAATTTAAATTAGAGGCTGGTATATACTTTATATTTTTAGGCCCATTGCTAGGGGTAAGATAAGATTTGTTGGGATTTTTAACCCCAGAGAGTTAGAGACTTACGATAACCCAAGAAAGTCAGTGGGTCATCAAGGACTGTCATATTTCCATTGTGGTCCTTCAGTCTTGTCCCCCAGGATGCCACCCGTACTAATCGGCTGACACCCAAGTACCTATTTTTTTCTGCTAAATGAACAGGGACAGCAGGTGTAAAGAAACACGCCCAGCATTTCCACCCATGTTGGGATCGAGCCACGGACACTCAGTGTGTGAAGCGAGAGCATTGTCCTCCTTACCCCGATGTACACACTTGTAATTTTTTTTTTTTAGGAGGTGTTAAATCCTCTTCAAGGTGCTTGATTCTCTTCAAGAATAATTCATATTACAATACTGTGGTTGGAACAGTTCACAACTAACCCACATTTTGGAGAGGAAAATGCAGACAACATTTTGATCTAGCCTGGAACTTTATCAAGTCACAACCAAGGACTCCAATGGAAATAAGTCACTTTGACTTTGTTGGGTTATCCTAGGTAATTTACATTATGCATAATAATTGTACTTATGTGTACCTGTGTCTAAATAAACTTAAAGGACAGTCAAGAATGTCTGAAGTTTCTTCTCCAAGTTATGGGTTACTTGTAACTTGATCTTCCTGGTAATCATGAGACAGTCACTTTGCCTTCCTTCTTTCTGATTCCCTGTCTTGTTTAAATAGCAGCTAATTCTTTAATTGAAGGAGATATCTACAGCTAACACTTTCTAAATTTTTAAATCTCTAATACTGATATTTAGCTATATTAGAAACTGGTGCCATACTCTTCACTATTCCTTTAAGGTAGAAGGGATTGGGCTTATAGAATATGGGGACACTTTTCTTGGAGTGCAAAGCGACTGAATGCATCTGCTATAATTAATTATGGCCTTCCCTTATTTTTCTACAGGACGACCGAAGAGGAAGGGTCCAGACCTAAAGTTTAAGTTCACAGATAATCAGCCAGCTCAGCCAGTGTAAGTAGTACTCTACCCTGGGTTTTTCTGATGTGAAAAGGTACATCCAAAACTGACTAGCACATTCTATGAAGATCTGGAAAGAATAAAAGGCACAATAGCACGATTGGAACAATTCACATATAACCTGAACATGGGAGAATTTGATGACATTTGGGTCCAACTTTGACCATTAACTAGTTAATGGTTCAGGTCGGACCAAAACATCATCATAAGTTTCCTTCTCTTACGTGCAGTTATTTGTGAACTATGAAGGTCTCTTCGTATTCTAATTTGGATGTACTTTTTTCTATCACAGTTACAAAAAATTTGCTATATAGAGGAACTTATAAGAGAGCTGATTATTACTTTTTTCTTGGCTTATTATTTTATTTGTAAATTACAATTACACCAACTCTTTCAGTAATTGGTTAGTTAATTACATATAACAAATTATGTCTTAGTATAATTTGAGCTTAATTATATTTCCATATAGAGAACTGTATATTTACATTGTCATTGCAGAAACTGTGTGATACTGTACAGCATGTGTTTCTTTACCATTAAACAAATTTAATATTTCTTAAACTTTAGGACTATTAAATGGTCCTAAGGTATCTATTATATATGCCTTGAGATAGGTAGGAAGAATTAGCATACCAAATGTATACAATTTTCTTAAATACTGTACTACAAATTAACTGTCGCAACACAAAAATTCAAAGCATTGGCAAGGAAGATGTTACAGTAGAAAGGAAGAAACACAGGAAGATAGTGAGGGATAATGAAGACAAATAATAAAAGTGGGGAAAGCAAAATTCATCAAGGACAGGCTGAGGTGGAACAAATTTTGAACAGTCTCCAAAAGTGGGGGTGCAGTGTGGGTGTAACAAAGGAGAGAGAGAATGGATCTTCACTAAGATAATGATATACGTATACCCTTTTCTTTCTCAGCTTCTAAGTAAAATCAAGAAATTCATCTACAAGATGATAAAGTGAAGGCTCTAGCATGATGCTTTCAGAGTAAAGAACAAGAAAATAGAAATCTTGGTGCTTTTGTGGGCTAAAACTGAAAAAAAGTGAATTTTAGAATTAATTATTAAAATGTCAAAATAGTAGACCTCATTTTAGAGTAATCATTTTTGATCTGTTTAGTTTTCACAGTTACTTAATATTTCTTTCATTTACAGTACTCTCATCATGATTGGCTAATATTGTCACTAGGATGTTTGCCAGTAATTTCAAAACAATCATACCATACATGGTTTAATAATAGCCCGTCTGTACCACAAGTACACCTAACATCCGACTTACGACCTGCTTGACTTATGACCACTCGACTTACGACCATGTTTTTTATGCCAAATTTCTGGGAAATAAACAACTGTTTGTGTTGTACACAGTGTTTATCCTAAACCTTACAGTATAAAATACAGTACTAACAGCATAAAAAGTAAAGTAAAACACACCACACACACACACACACACACACACACACACACACACACACACACACACACACACACACACACACTCACTCACTCACTCACTCACTCACTCACTCACTCACTCACTCACTCACTCTCTCACTCTCTCACTCTCTCACTCTCTCACTCTTTCACTCTCTCTCACTCTCTCTCACTCTCACTCTCTCACTCTCTCTCTCACTCTCTCTCTCACTCTCTCTCTCACTCTCTCTCTCACTCTCTCTCTCTCTCTCTCTCTCTCTCTCTCTCTCTCTCTCTCTCCTTTTTTTTTTTTTTTAATCATTATAACAAAACTGGTGTAAAAAATTCTTGTGGAAATGTTTCAGACTGGCTCTGGAGTATATGCTATGTAAAAGTGTGAAAGCTGACAAGTAGAACATTTGTGGGAGATCTTGAATCTGTGTACAGAAAGGTGTAGCCTTACCTGTCTCTAATGCAGGGGTACTTAACCTTTTTATGATTACAGACCCACAGTGGATTGCCCAATAGATGCTCCTTGCTTTACGATGGTTCTACTTACAATATTTCAACTATGATGATGCACTAGTGTTACATATTCAGTAGTCAGTATTCTGTAAAACCTTTTTTTTTTTTTTCTTTTTTTTTTTGTATTGTACTGTGCTGTACATTCATTGATAGGATAACTTGTATTCATTTATTTACTTTTCATTGTTGGTTAGTTACAGTAATTATTTGTTTACATATTCAGTGACAGTATTTAGTTATTTACTTATCATATATTCATATTTGACTTATATTTTCAACTTAGGATGGGTTCATTGGAATGTTACCACATTGTACATCAAGGGACACCCATGTAGACATTCTGGCACTGCCCCTCAATATGCTGCTATGTTTTACTTTATTTTCCTGATAATTCAAAGTAAATGTGGAAAGATAATTGGTTTTCTTCATTATAGAGGACCACCACGTGACCTGGACAGCAGAACAACTATAACCATGGATGGCAAAGATGTGGAAGTTTCGGCTGATGACTTGGAACTGTTGAAAGAACTAGGACGTGGTGCGTATGGAGTAGTGGAAAAAATGAGACACAGACCATCCAACACAATCATGGCTGTGAAGGTGAGCAACAGTAAGAGCATTTTGTTTTGACTTATGCTGGTGTCTCGAAAGGCACATGTATATAAAACAAATTGTTTTCAGAATTATCATATTATCATTATTTTTTATAGCAAGATGAAATGGATAAAATAGCCACAGTTGGTGACAGTGTAAAATAATAGTGCATGTATTAAATGTGTTTGGTTGTTCATGGAAGCACAACATGACAGGAATACAGTATGTCAGGAGCGGACTTGCCTTCTCTAGGCCTTTCTTCCACCGTTGAATTACTTGTCCTGCAAACTTCTGCACTGTAATTTCTCTCAAGAATATTGTTTAGCCTATGCTTCTGGCTTTCACAGTGAGAAATTGCCTTTATCACTTAGGTCTCAATTTGTCCTTGTTCTTAATTTATCTATTTTTTTACAAACATATACCACAACAGCACTCACGCTTCCTCCAACCTTTCCTGGGATAATAATAATAATATACAGTATTTTGCAGCTTATTAAACACATTACCCCTCCCCCCCCATAAAATGTCTCCAAAAACCAACCTGCATCCTATAAACTGAAAGTCAGTGATGGGAGTTATATAAGTTTGGGGTGTGGGGTGGGCTGTAGCTTTTCCAGTTACATCTGATGCCAAGCCATTGAAACTAAAACAAGTCTTATAAGCCGTGAAATGCAGTATTTTTTTTCTGCAGTATACAAGTAATGTAGTTTACATGTAATAAAATATTATTAAGCACCAAAGCAAGCCACAAACATGCTGTGCATGTTGGGCAGACTAATCCTAATGCCTAAAAACTACTTAAGAACTAGACATGGGTTAAGTAGGAGTTTTTAGATGTACAAAAATGAATGACTCCTTCCACTCCTTCCTTTCTTCTACCCCAGCTTTATTACACCCTCTTAGTCATCATATTCTGCTCCATTTTAAAGTGTGCAAGATATGAACTACAAAGGAGAAATGTGGAAAAGTTTTTAATAAAGCTGAAAATTTAAAAGAAATTAAAAAATTATGCACTTATGAATTGCTCTTTAGAAAAAGTGGAATATAAGATTTGTTTCTTTTAATAAGCTTTAAGATTCTCTAATTGAGTTCTCTTATTTAAAGGAATATAAGTAGATATTTTTACATTTAGGTGGGGCCTCGCTCTTACTATTTTGACTTATTACCTGGAATAGTATTAAGTATACAGCCTGTCCTCACTTAACGACGGAGTTCCATTCCTAAGAGACCATGTTGGTAAACGAATTCGTTGCTAGCAAGGAGCATTGTATAATGGTAGTGGGTTTGTGTCAACCATCTTTGATATTGTTTTAATGTCACCTTTGCACCATTTATAACATTTCTGGTATATTTTTAAATGTCTATACTGCAGTGTACTATATATTGTAATAAACAGAATAGAGGAAATCAGCTGTAATATATATTATTTAGGTTTGCATACAGGTCAGAGAGCCCATCATAAGTCTGAGTCATTGATAAACAAATACGTCGCTAAGTGAGGAGAGACTGTATATTGTATATAATTATCACCTTCCTTCAAGGGGCTGCCTTTAAGCTGGTAAAAGCTCCTAATCCAAGGAATTGGAGCAACCTTCCCCTTCTTCAGATCAACACCTGTTTATCTCCCGCTCCCCTAGCATTGTATGACCTCAGTAAATTTTAAAATTTCCCAAAGCTGAATAATTGTATGGTTATTATTATTTAAATGTATGTATTTTTTACTACAGCAGTGAATTGCCAACACTAAAGTTGAATAATAACTGTACATTTATTATTCAATTGTTTTAATTTTTCCTGTGACAGCGAATCACCAGCACTGTAGATAGTCGTGAGCAGCAGTACCTTCTAATGGACCTGGATGTGTCAATGCGGTCTGGTGCGTGCCCCTACACAGTTCACTTCTATGGAGCGCTGTTCAGAGATGGCGATGTATGGATCTGTATGGAAGTCATGGAGACGTCACTAGACAAATTCTACCCTAAGGTGTTCTCCCAGGGAAAGACTTTTCCTGAAGAATTTCTTGGCAAGATTGCTTTTTCTGTAAGTTGTCTGGAGTGACATCTAAACTGTTGTATCTGAGCACCTCTGCAAAGACAGTGATTATGTGTGAATGATGATGAAAGTGTTGAATGATGGTGAAAGTGTTTCTTTCTGGGTCACCTTGCCTCAGTGGGAGATGGCCAACATATTGAAGAAGAAAAAAAAATTTTGATGTTCTTGGGCTGTGTTTGGTACCAACTTGTTACTGGGTTAGTCATCCACCTCTTACCTTACCTGTCACCCCAGTATGTTATTATATTTATGAGGGGTGGGGATATTAGCAGTTTTGAATTGTAGTGTCAGTGCCTCTCTGGCAAGACAGTGACAGAATGAGTGATAGTGAAAGTATTTCTTTTTTTTTTGGGCCACCCTGCCTCAGTAGGAAACGGCAGGTGTGTTAAAATATATTTGTGTGCAGATCTAGGATATGACCTAATTTTATAAATATTTGAAGTTTAGGTTTAGGTTTGCTTAATGGAGATGCTGCCCACATAGTGGAAACTTCATTTAGGTAGTGGATGTATTGCTGTGCTAAAACATTTAAGACTATGTTTAAAGGTAAGGGAATTACAGTCGAGTAGTGAGATGGCCCCGTGGCTAAACCTCTCGCTTCACACACTGAGGGTCTGGGTTCAATTCCCAGTGAGGGTAGAAACACTGGGTGTGTTTCTTTACACCGGTTGTCTATGTTCCCTGTCAATAAACTGGGGACCTGGGAGTTAGTTGACTGGTGTGGGTCGCATCCTGGGACAAAACTGACCTAATTTGCCCGAAATGCTCTTCATAACAAGTGGTTTTCTGTATAGTAGTATGTCATTGATGTCATCTAGGCATGTATACCTTGTATATGTACTTGTAGAAATAAAGATACATTAGGAGTAAGAGAATTAAGAGTAAGACAGAGAGTAGGATAGCAGATGAACGAGGAGGCTTTAGGAAAGGTAGAGGGTGTGTAGACCAAGCGTTTAGAGTGAAACATATAGGTGAACAGTATTTAGATAAGGGTAAAGAGGTTTTTGTGGCATTTAGGGATTTAGAAAAGGCATATGACAGGGTGGATAGGGGGGCCCTGAATCTGCACTCTTTCGAAAGGCGTAGAATTAGGGGGGAGATGATTGAGGTGTATAAATGGAAAACAGGAATAAATAAAGGGGATATAAATAGCATGCTGAAAATCTCCAGCCAAGACAGGACTCGCAGCAGTGGTTTCAAGTTGGAAAAATTCAGATTCAGGAAGGATATAGGAAAGCACTGGTTTGGTAATAGAGTTGTGGATGAGTGGAACAAACTCCCAAGTACAGATATTGAGGCTAAAACGTTGTGTAGTTTTAAAAATAGGTTAGATAAATACATGAGTGGGTGTGGGTGGGTGAGAGTTGGACCTGACTAGCTTGTGCTGCTGGGTCTGGTGCCGTGCTCCTTCCTTGAGAGGAGGTGACCAGACTGGGTGGGTCATTGAGCTAATTGGGGAGGGGGGGGCATGGACCTGCTCTGCATGGGCCATTAGGCCTGTTGCAGTGATCCTTCTTTCTTATGGCAGTTAGGGTAAGATATAAACAGCTATTGGAGGATAGATGGGCTAATGAGAGCATAGGCAATGGGGTCGAAGAGGTATGGGGTAGGTTTAAAAATGTAGTGTTAGAGTGTTCAGCAGAAGTTTGTGGATACAGGAAAGTGGGTGCAGGAGGGAAGAGGAGCGATTGGTGGAATGATGATGTAAAGAGAGTAGTAAGGGAGAAAAAGTTAGCATATGAGAAGTTTTTACAAAGTAGAAGTGATGCAAGGAGGGAAGAGTATATGGAGAAAAAGAGAGAAGTTAAGAGAGTGGTGAAGCAATGTAAAAAGAGAGCAAATGAGAGAGTGGGTGAGATGTTATCAACAAATTTTGTTGAAAATAAGAAAAAGTTTTGGAGTGAGATTAACAAGTTAAGAAAGCCTAGAGAACAGATGGATTTGTCAGTTAAAAATAGGAGAGGAGAGTTATTAAATGGAGAGTTAGAGGTATTGGGAAGATGGAAGGGAATATTTTGAGGAATTGTTAAATGTTGATGAAGATAGGGAAGCTGTGATTTCGTGTATAGGGCAAGGAGGAATAACATCTTGTAGGAGTGAGGAAGAGCCAGTTGTGAGTGTGGGGGAAGTTCGTGAGGCAGTAGGTAAAATGAAAGGGGGTAAGGCAGCCGGGATTGATGGGATAAAGATAGAAATGTTAAAAAGCAGGTGGGGATATAGTTTTGGAGTGGTTGGTGCAATTATTTAATAAATGTATGGAAGAGGGTAAGGTACCTAGGGATTGGCAGAGAGCATGCATAGTTCCTTTGTACAAAGGCAAAGGGGATAAAAAGAGAGTGCAAAAATTATAGGGGGATAAGTCTGTTGAGTGTACCTGGTAAAGTGTATGGTAGAGTTATAATTGAAAGAATTAAGAGTAAGACGGAGAATAGGATAGCAGATGAACAAGGAGGCTTTAGGAAAGGTAGGGGGTGTGTGGACCAGGTGTTTACAGTGAAACATATAAGTGAACAGTATTTAGATAAGGCTAAAGAGGTCTTTGTGGCATTTTGGATTTGGAAAAGGCGTATGACAGGGTGGATAGGGGGGCAATGTGGCAGATGTTGCAAGTGTATGGTGTAGGAGGTAGGTTACTGAAAGCAGTGAAGAGTTTTTACGGGATAGTGAGGCTCAAGTTAGAGTATGTAGGAAAGAGGGAAATTTTTTCCCAGTAAAAGTAGGCCTTAGACAAGGATGTGTGATGTCACCGTGGTTGTTTAATATATTTATAGATGGGGTTGTAAGAGAAGTAAATGCGAGGGTCTTGGCAAGAGGCGTGGAGTTAAAAGATAACGAATCACACACAAAGTGGGAGTTGTCACAGCTGCTCTTTGTGATGACACTGTGCTCTTGGGAGATTCTGAAGAGAAGTTGCAGAGATTGGTGGATGAATTTGGTAGGGTGTGCAAAAAGAAGAAAATTAAAGGTGAATACAGGAAAGAGTAAGGTTATGAGGATAACAAAAAGATTAGGTGATGAAAGATTGAATATCAGATTGGAGGGAGAGAGTATGGAGGAGGTGAACGTATTCAGATATTTGGGAGTGGACGTGTCAGCGGATGGGTCTATGAAAGATGAGGTGAATCATAGAATTGATGAGGGAAAAAGAGTGAGTGGTGCACTTAGGAGTCTGTGGAGACAAAGAACTTTGTCCTTGGAGCAAAGAGGGGAATGTATGAGAGTATAGTTTTACCAACGCTCTTATATGGGTGTGAAGCGTGGGTGATGAATGTTGCAGCGAGGAGAAGGCTGGAGCGGGTGGAGATGTCATGTCTGAGGGCAATGTGTGGTGTGAATATAATGCAGAGAATTCGTAGTTTTGGAAGTTAGGAGGAGGTGCGGGATTACCAAAACTGTTGTCCAGAGGGCTGAGGAAGGGTTGTTGAGGTGGTTCGGACATGTAGAGAGAATGGAGCGAAACAGAATGACTTCAAGAGTGTATCAGTCTGTAGTGGAAGGAAGGCGGGGTAGGGGTCGGCCTAGGAAGGTTGGAGGGAGGGGGTAAAGGAGGTTTTGTGTGCGAGGGGCTTGGACTTCCAGCAGGCATGCGTGAGCGTGTTTGATAGGAGTGAATGGAGACAAATGGTTTTTAATACTTGACGTGCTGTTGGAGTGTGAGCAAAGTAACATTTATGAAGGGATTCAGGGAAACCGGCAGGCCGGACTTGAGTCCTGGAGATGGGAAGTACAGTGCCTGCACTCTGAAGGAGGGGTGTTAATGTTGCAGTTTAAAAACTGTAGTGTAAAGCACCCTTCTGGCAAGACAGTGATGGAGTGAATGATGGTGAAAGTTTTTCTTTTTCGGGCCACCCTGCCTTGGTGGGAATCGGCCGGTGTGATAATAAAAAAAAAATAGTGTATGGTATAGGGGGTAGGTTACTGAAAGCGGTGAAGAGTTTTTACGAGGATAGTGAGGCTCAGGTTAGAGTATGTAGGAGAGAGGGAGATTATTTCCCAGTATAAGTAGGCCTTAGACAAGGGTGTGTGATGTCACCATGGTTGTTCAATATACTATTTATAGATGGGGTTGTAAGAGAAGTGAATGCTTGGGCGTTGGCAAGAGGTGTGGAGATAAAAGATAAAGAATCAAGCACAAAGTGGGAGTTGTCACAGTTGCTCTTTACTGATGACTCAGTGCTTTTGGGAGATTCTGAAGAGAAGTTGCAGAGGTTGGTGGATGATTTTGGTAGGGTATGTAAAAGAAGAAAATTAAAAGTGAATATAGGAAAGAGTAAGGTTATGAGGATAACAAAAAGATTAGGTGACGAAAGACTGGATATCAGATTGGAGGGAGAGAGTATGGAGTAGGTGAATGTATTCAGATATTTAGGAGTGGATGTGTCAGCAGATGGGTCTATGAAGGATGAGGTGAATCACAGAATTGATGAGGGGAAAAGGGTGAGTGGTGCACTTAGGAGTCTGTGGAGACAAAGAACTTTGTCCGTGGAAGCAAAACGGGGAATGTATGAGAGTATAGTTGTACCAACACTCTTGTATGGGTGTGAAGCATGGGTGATGAATGTTGCAACAAGGAGAAGGCTGGAGGCAGTGGAGATGTCATGTCTGATGGCAATGTGTGGTGTGAATATAATGCAGAGAATTCGTAGTTTGGAAATTAGGAGGTGTGGGATTACCAAAACTATTATCCAGAGGGCTGAGGAGGGGTTGTTGAGGTGGTTCGGACATATAGAGAGAATGGAACAAAACAGAATGACTTCGAAAGTGTATAAATCTGTAGTGGAGGGAAGGTGGGGTAGGGGTCGGCCTAGGAAGGGCTGGAGGGAGGGGGGTAAAGGAGGTTTTGTGTGCGAGGGGCTTGGACTTCCAGCAAGCGTGCATGTGCGTATTTAATAGGAGTGAATGGAGACAAGTGGTTTTTAATACTTGACGTGCTGTTGGAGTGTGAGCAAAGTAACATTTATGAAGGGATTCAGCGAAGCCAGCAGTGCCAGACTAGAGTCCTGGAGATGGGAAGTACACTGTTTACATTCTGAAGGAGGGGTGTTAATGTTGCAGTTTTATAACTGTAGTGTAAAGCACCATTCTGGCAAGACAGTGATGGAGTGATAATGAAAGTTTTTCTTTTTCAGGCCACCTTGCCTTGGTGGGAATCGGCCGATGTGTTAATAAAAAATAAAATAATTTAGTAGCACCAGTCGTGTTCTTGATCCTGTATTATATTACTTTCATGACCTGGATTGTCTGGAATAAGATATAGGAGAGGGGACCAGGATGATTTCCTAAAATGTCATTTGTAATAAATAATACAGTATCTTGCTTTCATTTACTGTATTGTCACACAGGTAGTGAGCGCTTTGCACTATCTACACACTCAACTGAAGGTTATCCATCGTGATGTGAAGCCATCCAACATTCTCATCAACAGATCTGGGGAGGTTAAGATGTGCGATTTTGGCATCTCGGGCTACTTGGTAGATTCAGTTGCGAAGACGGTACAAGCTGGATGTAAACCTTACATGGCAGTAAGTATTGCAACTCAGGTACTCTTGGTATTTATTGACTTGTTTGATTATTCTATCTTCCACAAAACAAGAGTTGATTGTGTAACTGCATGAGCATTTTTTTTTTTTTAACATGCCAGCTATCTCCCACTGAGGTTGGGTGATGCATAAAAAGGAAACTCACCACATGAAAAATGACCTATTAATAATACCCTATTTGTGGCTACAGATGCAGAGCTATGTTCATTGTCCCTTGTCTGTAATGTTTATTTTTTATTACATCTGCCACCAGGGTAGAGTAACTTAAACATAAACATTCACCAGTATTCATTCAGTAGCTGTCTTGTCAGAAGTGTGCAGACATTACATTTCAAATGGCCCTCTGAACTGTAACATCTTCACTTGTTGAGAGTACAAGCACTGTTCTTCTCAACTCCAGGACTGAAGCCTGGCAAACCAGTTTTCCCTGAATCTCTTCATCATTGTTGCCTTGCTTACACTCCAACACATTAAATCACTATAATCACTTTATTCCACTCACTCTAATCTAACTTGCCCCTGAAGCTTAAAACTTTCGCTCCTTCCAACCATTCTTGTGACAACTTCTACTCCTCTTACCTTTCTATACCCCCATCCTGAATTTATTCACTCTTGGTGATGCTATTCTACACCATCCTGTCTAATTTCCCAAACCCTATCAACAACACCTCTGTCCTTTGATAAATATCTTTAGTTACTTCTCTGTCTTCTAATTTCCACACTCCCAATACTTAGTATAATATTCACACCACAAATTGCTCTCGAACATGATACCTCCACTGCCTCTATCCTCCTTTCTGCAATGTTTTAAAACCCATATTTTGCACCCATATTAAAAGGTTTGTTCAACTATATTCTGGTACTTTTTTTTTCCATAGATAAACCTCTTTCTCTCCACAGATGCCTCAACACTCCATCTACCTCTTACCCTTCATGTATCTGATGGTTCACCCTGTCTTTCATAAACCCCTCTGCTAACACATCCACCCCCAGATACCTAAATACAGTACATTCGCTTCCTTCATACTTTAATCTAATATTAAATTTTTTCTTGGTAAATTTTTTGTTACTCTAATTGCCTGGCTCTTTTCTATGTCTGCTCTAAAGTTCCATTTTTTGCACACCTCTCAAACTTGTCCACCAACCGTTGCAACTTTTCTTCAGATTCTTCCAAAAGAACTGTCATCATCAAAGAGCAGCTGCAACAACTCCCACTTCATATCACTAATTATCTTTCAGTTCCACCTAATTGTTAATGAATGCAGTCATGCCTGCTTCTGTAGTTTTCAACACCTTCCAAGTCTTGTTAGTAAAATTTTTTATTGAATTACAAAGGATTAATTAATTGCACAGTATATATTTTCCTGTACTTGTATAAATAATTTTAGTATTGATAAGTATGGTTGATGTGACAGCATATGTTATCTTCACAGCCGGAACGAATAGACCCTCAAGGTGTTCCATCCAGCTATGATATTCGCTCAGACGTATGGTCACTTGGGATATCTATTGTTGAGATAGCAACAGGTAAATTCCCATACAAGTCCTGGGGTACGCCATTTGATCAACTAAAGCAAGTAGTGATGGATGAGCCTCCTCGCCTTCCTTCTGGGACTTTCTCTTCAGACTTTGACAACTTTGTAGAGCAAGTGTAAGTAGAATATGTTTCATTTATAATGAGTATACAGGCATACCTCACTAATACAGTGGGTTAGGTTCCATACCACTGCTGTAAAGCGAATCACAGCCTCTTTTTCACTTGCCAGTGCATATAAAATCCTAAAAACATGTTTATGCTATCATTTGTTAAGTGCACAATAGAACTAGGCTTAAAAAAGCAATGTAGAGTTTTTTTTTTTTTTTTTTTCAACAAGTCGGCCGTCTCCCACCGAGGCAGGGTGACCCAAAAAAAGAAAGAAAATCCCCAAAAAGAAAATACTTTCATCATCATTCAACACTTTCACCACACTCACACATTATCACTGTTTTTGCAGAGGTGCTCAGAATACAACAGTTTAGAAGCATATACGTATAAAGATACACAACATATCCCTCCAAACTGCCAATATCCCGAACCCCTCCTTTAAAGTGCAGGCATTGTACTTCCCATTTCCAGGACTCAAGTCCGACTATATGAAAATAACCGGTTTCCCTGAATCCCTTCACTAAATATTTCCCTGCTCACACTCCAACAGATCGTCAGGTCCCTAGTATCATTCGTCTCCATTCACTCCTATCTAACACGCTCATGCACGCTTGCTGGAAGTCCAAGCCCCTCGCCCACAAAACCTCCTTTACCCCCTCTTTCCAACCCTTTCGAGGACGACCCCTACCCCTCCTTCCTTCCCCTATAGCTTTGTATGCTTTCCATGTCATTCTACTTTGATCCATTCTCTCTAAATGACCAAACCACCTCAACAACCCCTCTTCTGCCCTCACTAATGCTTTTATTAACTCCACACCTTCTCCTAATTTCCACACTCCGAATTTTCTGCATAATATTTACACCACACATTGCCCTTAGACAGGACATCTCCACTGCCTCCAACCATCTCCTCGCTGCTGCATTTACCACCCAAGCTTCACATCCATATAAGAGTGTTGGTACTACTATACTTTCATACATTCCCTTCTTTGCCTCCATAGATAACGTTTTTTGACTCCACATATACCTCAACGCACCACTCGCCTTTTTTCCCTCATCAATTCTATGATTAACCTCATCCTTCATAAATCCATCCGCCGACACGTCAACTCCCAAGTATCTGAAAACATTCACTTCTTCCATACTCCTCCTCCCCAATTTGATATCCAATTTTTCTTTATCTAAATCATTTGATACCCTCATCACCTTACTCTTTTCTATGTTCACTTTCAACTTTCTACCTTTACACACATTCTCAAACTCATCCACTAACCTTTGCAATTTTTCTTTAGAATCTCCCATAAGCACAGTATCATCAGGCAAAAAGTAACTGTGTCAATTCCCGTTTTGAATTTGATTCACCATAATTTAATCCCACCCCTCTCCCGAACACCCTAGCATTTACTTCTTTTACAACCCCATCTATAAATATATTAAACAACCATGGTGACATTACACATCCCTGTCTAAGACCTACTTTTACCGGGAAGTATTCTCCCTCTCTTCTACACACCCTAACCTGAGCCTCACTATCCTCATAAAAGCTCTTTACAGCATTTAGTAACTTACCACTTATTCCATATACTTGCAACATCTGCCACATTGCTCCTCTATCCACTCTATCATATGTCTTTTCTAAATCCATAAATGCAATAAAAACTTCCCTACCGTTATCTAAATACTGTTCACATATATGTTTCAATGTAAACACTTGATCTACACATCCCCTACCCACTCTGAAGCCTCCCTGCTCATCCGCAATCCTACATTCTGTCTTACCTCTAATTCTTTCAATTATAACCCTACCGTATACTTTTCCTGGTATACTCAGTAAACTTATTCCTCTATAATTTTTACAATCTCTTTTGTCCCCTTTCCCTTTATATAAAGGGACTATACATGCTCTCCACCAATCCCTAGGTACCTTCCCCTCTTTCATACATTTATTAAACAAAAGTACCAACCACTCCAACACTATATCCCCCCCTGCTTTTAACATTTCTGTCATGATCCCATCAGTTCCAGCAGTTTTACCCCCTTTCATTCTACGTAATGCCTCACGTACCTCCACCACACTTACATTCTGCTCTTCTTCACTCCTAAAAGATGGTATACCTCCTGGCCAGTGCATGAAATTACCGCCTCCCTTTCTTCCTCAACATTTAAAAGTTCCTCAAAATATTCTCGCCATCTACCTAATACCTCCCTCTCCCCATCTACTAACTTCCCTACTCTGTTTTTAACTGACCAATCCATACTTTCCCTAGGCTTTCTTAACTTGTTTAACTCACTCCAAAATTTTTTCTTATTTTCATTAAAATTTCTTGACAGTGCCTCTCCCACTCTTTTATCTGCTCTCCTTTTGTACTCTCTCACCACTCTCTTCACCTTTCTTTTACTCTCCATGTACTCTGCTCTTCTTATAACACTTCTGCTTTGTAAAAACCTCTCATAAGCTACCTTTTTCTCTTTTATCACACCCTTTACTTCATCATTCCACCAAAAACCATCTTAAGAGCAAGGCACGTGCCGAAAATAATAATTATTATTTTTTTTATTATCACACTGGCCGATTCCCACCAAGGCAGGGTGGCCCGAAAAAGAAAAACTTTCACCATCATTCACTCCATCACTGTCTTGCCAGAAGGGTGCTTTACACTACAGTTTTTAAACTGCAACATTAACACCCCTCCTTCAGAGTGCAGGCACTGTACTTCCCATCTCCAGGACTCAAGTCCGGCCTGCCGGTTTCCCTGAACCCCTTCATAAATGTTACTTTTGCTCACACTCCAACAGCACGTCAAGTATTAAAAACCATTTGTCTCCATTCACTCCTATCAAACACGCTCACGCATGCCTGCTGGAAGTCCAAGCCCCTCGCACACAAAACCTCCTTTACCCCCTCCCTCCAACCTTTCCTAGGCCGACCTCTACCCCGCCTTCCTTCCACTACAGACTGATACACTCTTGAAGTTATTCTGTTTCGCTCCATTCTCTCCACATGTCCGAACCACCTCAACAACCCTTCCTCAGCCCTCTGGACAACAGTTTTGGTAATCCCGCACCTCCTCCTAACTTCCAAACTACGAATCTGCATTATATTCACACCACACATTGCTCTCAGACATGACATCTCCACTGCCTCCAGCCTTCTCCTCGCTGCAACATTCATCACCCATGCTTCACACCCATATAAGAGCGTTGGTAAAACTATACTCTCATACATTCCCCTCTTTGCCTCCAAGGACAAAGTTCTTTGTCTCCACAGACTCCTAAGTGCACCACTCACCCTTTTCCCCTCATCAATTCTATGATTCACCTCATCTTTCATAGACCCATCCGCTGACACGTCCACTCCCAAATATCTGAGTTCATTCACCTCCATACTCTCTCCCTCCAATCTGATATCCAATCTTTCATCACCTAATCTTTTTGTTATCCTCATAACCTTACTCTTTCCTGTATTCACTTTCAATTTTCTTCTTTTGCACACCCTACCAAATTCATCCACCAATCTCTGCAACTTCTCTTCAGAATCTCCCAAGAGCACAGTGTCATCAGCACAGAGCAACTGTGACAACTCCCACTTTGTGTGATTCTTTATCTTTTAACTCCACACCTCTTACCAAGACCCTCGCATTTACTTCTCTTACAACCCCATCTATAAATATATTAAACAACCACAGTGACATCACACATCCTTGTCTAAGGCCTACTTTTACTGGGAAATAATTTCCCTCTTTCCTACATACTCTAACTTGAGCCTCACTATCCTCGTAAAAACTCTTCACTGCTTTCAGTAACCTACCTCCTACACCATACACCTGCAACATCTGCCACATTGCCCCCCTATCCACCCTGTCATACGCCTTTTCCAAATCCATAAATGCCACAAAGACCTCTTTAGCCTTACCTAAATACTGTTCACTTATATGTTTCACTGTAAACACCTGGTCCACACACCCCCTACCTTTCCTAAAGCCTCCTTGTTCATCTGCTGTCCTATTCTCCGTCTTACTCTTAATTCTTTCAATAATAACTCTACCATACACTTTGCCAGATATACTCAACAGACTTATCCCCCTATAATTTTTGCACTCTCTTTTGTCCCCTTTGCCTTTATACAAAGGAACTATGCATGCTCTCTGCCAATCCCTAGGTACCTTACCCTCTTCCATACATTTATTAAATAATTGCACCAACCACTCCAAAACTATATCCCCACCTGCTTTTAACATTTCTATCTTTATCCCATCAATCCCGGCTGCCTTACCCCCTTTCATTTTACCTACTGCCTCACGAACTTCCCCCACACTCACAACTGGCTCTTCCTCACTCCTACAAGATGTTGTTCCTCCTTGCCCTATACACGAAATCACAGCTTCCCTATCTTCATCAACATTTAACAATTCCTCAAAATATTCCCTCCATCTTCCCAATACCTCTAACTATAATTGAACAGTACCGTATTAGTGAAACTCTCTAAAACAAGCACCATATTAACAAGGTATGCCAGTATACCAAAACAGTTTTTCATGGCACACCAAAATAGCTCAGTTTTGTTTTACACTAAAATTGTTCCCCTTCCTTATCATTTAAATAGTTCCTCTTCATCTCTTTGTAAAATTTTGAAGAAAGACTAAATATTATTTTTTCTGAGTTGTTATTCAAAGCTCATTATCTTGTTTAGTTTTTTGTCAACATTTTAAATAATTTCACTTGAGCCCATTATTGAATATTCCCACTGTTCCAGTCCCTAGTATATGCATCTTACCCATACTTACCTTAATCACAGCAGTAGGCCTATTGACCCATGCAGAACAAGTCTTAATGGGCCTGTTGTGCTCCAGGTTGAACTTTGTCAAGTTACATGATGTATTAATATTGTTTTTATATCCATACCTATTGCTTGGACTTCCAGCAAGCGTGCGTGAGTGTGTTCGATAGGAGTGAATGGAGACGATGGTATTTGGGACCTGACGATCTTTTGGAGTGTGAGCAGGGTAATATTTTGTGAAGGGATTCAGGGAAACCGGTTATTTTTATATAGCCAGACTTGAGTCTTGGAAATGGGAAGTAAAATGCCTGCACTCTAAAGAAGGGGTTTGGGATATTAGCAGTTTGGAGGGATATGTTGTGTATCTTTATACGTATATGCTTCTAAACTGTTGTGTTCTGAGCACCTCTGCAAAAACAGTGATTATGTGTGAATGAGGTGAAAGCATTGAATGATGATGAAAGTATTTTCTTTCTGGGGATTTTCTTTCTTTTTGGGTCACCCTGCCTCGGTGGGAGATGGCCGACTTGTTAAAAAAAAAAAAATATTGCTGTTATACCTGTACTTCCAGTTTGTTTAACATTGTTACATTATCACATGTCACAATAGTGTTTGTTTTTTGGTGTATCCAAAGAAGCAGTATGTTTAAGCCTCAGCCTAATACTTGTTTCCTTCCATTTGAAAGGTAACAAATTTATTGCCTTTGTATTACTGTGTGCTGTTATTTGTACTAGGATCACATATCAGTAAACTAGAGAATTATAGCTCATCTGTCATTTGTGCTGGTATCACATATCAGTAAACTAAAGAATAATACATCATCCATCATTTGTACTGGTATTACATGTCAGACATTATTGGTTGTCAGGTTACTCACGCTTTGCAGTATTGATATCAACCACACACATTGATATAACAATAATTTACAGCATTGGCTTTTAACCATTTTTGGTTGCTACCCAGATTCCCTCCATAGGGCTAGCTCAGTGACCCGTACCTTCTGACAAACTACAAGATGAAAAGTAAAATAATGAGAAAACTTATTAAGCTGCTGCCTGAACAACAAAATATGGTATTGTTTAAGATAAGTTACATTACTAACCATGCTCCACCTGGAATCTACCTGGAGGGTATTCTGGGGTCATTACAAACCATGCTCCACCTGGAGTTGACCTGGAGGGTGTTCTGGGGGTCATTACAAACCATGCTCCACCTGGAGTCTACTTGGAGGGTATTCTGGGGCCATTACAAACCTGCTCCATCTGGAGTCTACCTGGAGGGTGTTCTGGGGGTCTGTGCCCCCATGGCCCGGTCCTTGACCAAATAGTTACCTAGCATTGTTTTCCCGAGAGTAAACAAAAAAATCTTGTCCCCTTACAAGTAGGTTGTAGCAAATAATGATTATCTTTATTTCTACAAGTACATGTACTTGTACAAAGTATACAGACTGTAGTTGACATCAGTGACATACTACTATATAGAAAGCCCCATGTTATGCAGAGTATTTTGGGCAAATTATGTCAATTTTGTCCCCAGGATGCAACTCACACCAGTCGATTAACACCCAGGTACCTATTTTACTGCTAGGTGAACATGGACGACAGGTGTCCTAAGGAAATACATCCTAATGTTTCCACCTGTACTGGGGATCGACTCTCCAGACCTCAGTGTGTGAGCTGAGTGTGCTACCAATTGTGCTATGAGACACTTTAGGGCTTCATCTCTTCAAACTAGATTTTTTTTTGTTCACGTTGATCCAGTGTACATTCGTAGATTTCTTTTGCTTTTAAAATTTGTACCAAAGTGTCTTATCATTTAAGAACTGATAAGCTGCCCTTGAAGCTTATTTATGTTTAAAAAATTCCTGGAGATCTTGCACAAAGACATTAAATGGGTTCCTCACTTCATTCTTGGGGATTTTTCTATTTTAACACATTGGCCTTTTCCCACCTATGCATGCTGATACACCTGGAGAGGGTTTTGGGGCTCAATGCCCCCGCGGGCCGGTCTGTGACCAGGCCTCGTGATATAGCATTCAAATTGTGTGATTAATTTAGCTCTCTGACATTGTTTTAAACATTTATGAATGAAATACCATATAGTGTAGTAGTGTATTTTTAAAGAAATGCATGTAAACTGCTTTTATTATATTTAGTTCGGGTAAATCTAATGGCTTAGAAGTATTGTCTTTTCACAAGTTCCTTTGAACTGCATAGATTCAAGAGAACTTCATCTCATTATTAAAGGATCCCAATGGAAATAAGACAGACAGTTTTTAAAGATGAACAACTTTTTTGGGTTATCCTGAGTGGTTAATCCTCTGGGTTTAAAATCCAAACAAATCTTATCTATAATGCAAACATTAAACAAGAATATATTATATATATCTTATGGATTTAGAAAAGGCATATGATAGAGTGGATAGAGGAGCAATGTGGCAGATGTTGCAAGTATATGGAATAGGTGGTAAGTTACTAAATGCTGTAAAGAGCTGTTATGAGGATAGTGAGGCTCAGGTTAGGGTGTGTAGAAGAGAGGGAGAATACTTCCCGGTAAAAGTAGGTCTTAGACAGGGATGTGTAATGTCACCATGGTTGTTTAATATATTTATAGATGGGGTTGTAAAAGAAGTAAATGCTAGGGTGTTAGGGAGAGGGGTGGGATTAAATTATGGTGAATCAAATTCAAAATGGGAATTGACACAGTTACTTTTTGCCTGATGATACTGTGCTTATGGGAGATTCTAAAGAAAAATTGCAAAGGTTAGTGGATGAGTTTGAGAATGTGTGTAAAGGTAGAAAGTTGAAAGTGAACATAGAAAAGAGTAAGGTGATGAGGGTATCAAATGATTTAGATAAAGAAAAATTGGATATCAAATTGGGGAGGAGGAGTATGGAAGAAGTGGATGTTTTCAGATACTTGGGAGTTGACGTGTCGGCGGATGGATTTATGAAGGATGAGGTTAATCATAGAATTGATGAGGGAAAAAAGGTGAGTGGTGCGTTGAGGTATATGTGGAGACAAAAAACGTTATCTATGGAGACAAAGAAGGGAATGTATGAAAGTATAGTAGTACCAACACTCTTATATGGATGTGAAGCTTGGGTGGTAAATGCAGCAGCGAGGAGACGGTTGGAGGCAGTGGAGATGTCCTGTCTAAGGGCAATGTGTGGTGTAAATATTATGCAGAAAATTCGGAGTGTGGAAATTAGGAGAAGGTGTGGAGTTAATAAAAGCATTAGTCAGAGGGCAGAAGAGGGGTTGTTGAGGTGGTTTGGTCATTTAGAGAGAATGGATCAAAGTAGAATGACATGGAAAGCATATAAATCTATAGGGGAAGGAGAGGGGTAGGGGTCGTCCTCGAAAGGGTTGGAAAGAGGGGGTAAAGGAGGTTTTGTGGGTGAGGGGCTTGGACTTCCAGCAAGCGTGCTTGAGCGTGTTAGATAGGAGTGAATGGAGACGAATGATACTTGGGACCTGACGATCTGTTGGAGTGTGAGCAGGGTAATATTTAGTGAAGGGATTCAGGGAAACCGGTTATTTTCATATTGTCGGACTTGAGTCCTGGAAATGGGAAGTACAATGCCTGCACTTTAAAGGAGGGGTTCGGGATATTGGCAGTTTGGAGGGATATGTTGTGTATCTCTATACGTATATGCTTCTAAACTGTTGTATTCTGAGCACCTCTGCAAAAGCAGTGATAATGTGTGTGTGTGGTGAAAGTGTTGAATGATGATGAAAGTATTTTCTTTTTGGGGATTTTCTTTCTTTTTTTTTTTGGGTCACCCTGCCTCGGTGGGAGACGACCGACTTGTTGAAAAAAAAAAAAAATAAAATAAAAAAAAAAAAAATATTATAAAATCATTTAAGTCAATTTTTTTTAAATCTAATATTCTTTTTTAATTTTCTTGCAGGTTAGTCAAAGATTACAAACTAAGGCCAAATTACATGCGTCTCCTAGAACATCCCTTCATTATGGCACATGCGAACTCTTCTAGCGATGCTTTTACTGCTTTTATCAATGAAAATTTGCCTCCGCCACAACAGTGACATCAACCTATTGTAGATTAGTTTGTTTTTATTTACTAATGTATTATAAGATGCATTAAGGATGAGTTTTTATTCAATACAAATTTTACTGAATAGACGTGTGAGAAAGAATCCTCATGTGTTTTGTGTACTGTTTCAGTGTACAAATTACCTTAAAGGTCAATAGAATTTATTGTAATATGTTTTAAGAGTAGCAGTAGGCCTTGAGGGACTGAAAGCCCTGCCGAGTCCACCACGTTTGGTGATTTGTTAAACTTGTGTTATCCCTTTGTAAATAGTTTTTAGACTACATAATAAAGAAGCTTTGTAACACCGTTGAAATATTATTCAAATACATGTTAAAGTATTTATTTTTTGACGAGATTTACTGAAGGCTGTCACCGTACCTGCAGAGTGTTCTTGCAAGGTTATAAGCAGTACCTGCTGAATGGGTATGCTTGTCTTAGGCAATATACCTTTTGGTTTTCACAGAGTTTCTTTTTCCCCCCACTACTGTCTTTTCTCAGATAACTTTAACTTGAGATATTCTAACTTAAGAATGCCTCTTTGGTTTAGTAAAACTTGCTACCCTTATTTGTCTTCATATTATGATGGAGTGAGTGATGGTGAAAGTGTTTCCTCTTTTTCAAGTTACCCAGCCTTGGTGGGAAATGGCCATTGTGTTAATTAAAAAAATTATGAGCCCATCCTTCACACTTCTTTCCCCTGATTGGTGTGTAATACTCTCTGAACTATGATAATCCATTTGGATTTAGCACTTTTTTAACCCTCAAACTGTTCAAATGTAGATCTATGTTTACGCACGTAGTGCTCCGACCTTGATTATCTCTATTTGAAAGCATGTAAAAAACGTAGATCTACGTTCGGAACACTACACGAGCGAACATAGATCTATGTTTGGACAGTTTAAGGGTTAATATAATGTGACTATAACAGAATAATGATAGTCACTTTTGTGTTTGAAGAGAGAGGAGGTTCTTCTCTGGGTGCTCCAGCACCCAGTCCTCACACAGAGTAGGGTTTACAGCTATCTTTAGAGTTTACAGTAATCCAGGGACACATGGCAGAGTCAACAAGCATTTTCACAGTCGAGTTACATACCATAATTGTTAGTATCATGCACATTGCAACCATGCCCTCTTACACATTTATCATTTCAGACTCAAAGTTCATTACAAGATATTCAAAAATATGATTTCCCACATTCCATTGTACTCCATATGCAACAATAGTTCACAAATGATTGTTGAATTTTTGGCAAACACAAGTCTTTTGTGTGAGTGTCTGAACACACTGACATTTAGGTTAATGAACATTGACTCAGCTGCTCTGACCACTATTTCCAATGTACCAATCTCCCATAGGTAAGTCCCTTTTTTTTTTTCATACATTTTTTCAGTACTGTTCCAGAGAGAGCCACACAGTTGGCTACAGCATTGGTGGGTCAGGAGACAAACAAATTGTTTTCCATGGTCACAGCTGGGCTCCTGGTCATCATTTTCCCATTGCTGTCACGTGTGGGAAACCGCTCTAGCACTAATGCAACTGGGACACATCTCGCATGATACTCTCACTGATGTTGTATGGAGAGGTGCCTGGAACCTCTGTACAAGGTCTGTTGAGTAGCTTTACAACTATCCATATGAATAAGCAATAATGGATGGGGATGTGAACTGAGGTCTGTAAATTGACAGTCTGACACTTCTACCACTGTTTGTGCCTCCAGTCTATCTTTGTTTATTCATTGACAGTTGTTTATTATAACTTAATCTGAGTATAGCCTGACCTATCTACCAGAGAGCACAAGGAATTCATTTTCGACATTTCAATGGCCTGACACTCTTAACTGATCTCCTTAATGAATATCTCACCTTTAATGTAAACTTGCTTTTTGACACCACCTTGAACTTCCATCTTGCACCCACACTAACTGCCCAACTCATCTTCTAACCCCTCCACCCACTCCTACCCTCGCATACACCTCAGAGTGTTATGTGACCCGTGCATGTTTCTTAATATAATGGAGGGGTGGAGGTATGTTGAAGTTTAAAATGTAGTATAGGCACACCTTTGGCAAAACGGTATGGAGCGAATGATGATGAAAGTGCTTCTTCTTTTTGAGTCACCCCTGCCTTGGTGGGAAATGGCCAATGCGTTAATAAAATAAAAATAAGTAGTACCTAATTGTCACTCAGACTAATGAATTGCACACTACTACTATATTGATTTCTTTCACAGTGCAAATGTACAATAAGTTTTCTCTGGTGCCAAGTCAGTTGACAAAATAAAGGAACAAGTTGACTGTTAAGTCACTCAGGAATTCTACTTTTACAGTAGTTTAGCATTTAATTATGATTGTAATAATAAAACAATACAGTAAAATTTTAGACTTCTTGAAACAAATGTAGAAGGTAATCTTGAAGGAGGTTCCTTGAGGGGGATTACCAATAGACCCCTGGGTGTCTTTAAGCAGGCACTGGACAAACGCCTAAAGTCGGTACCTGACCAGTCAGGATGTGGCTCGTACGTTGGATTGCGTGCAGCCAGCAGTAACAGCCTGGTTGATCAGGCTCTGACCCACCAGGAGGCCTGGTCACAGACCAGGCTACGGGGACATTGACCCCCAGAACTCTCTCCAGGTAAACTCCAGGTAGGACTCGCCTCTTGGATCTCACCTCCCTTGGATCAAACCAGATTGCCTCTATACCCCCAGGCACTGTGTGACCCTCGTGGATTTAGCGCTTAGTTTTAATAATGTGAAGTTGTTATATATAACTTTAAGAAAGAACAGTGTAGCTCTAGTTCCTTAGATCAAGAACCCTTCACCAGCAGCAAGGTATCTAATTTGAGTTAGAGAAGAAAATGGGTGCACCAGCATGAAGCCAACTGAAAGAGGACTCATTACATACAAAGAAGGTATACTTCAATTTGAAAAACTGATTCTTGAGAACACAGCACGTGGTGAGCAAATCCTAAAACTGCTGGAGGCAGTGAAGATGTCTGAGGGCAATGTGTGTTCTTATGTGTACATTATCTAGGATAAGCCAAAAAAAAAGTCAGTAACTTATTTCCACGTAAGCAATAGAGTTGTAGAAAATATCCTCTGTACGAAAATTCCATATTATTGTGTTATACAAGTATCATTAAGTCAAAGGTATAAAATCCCTACAAGTTGATGAATAAGATACATGTACAACATCTGTGTATCTTTACTGGAGAGATGTTAACTTGCACAACAAGCTTTCGCAGTCTGTTACAGTGAAGTGATATTGAAGGCTTATGTAGTGGAATATGCAGCTGTAGACATGGTTATATGTGGATGGGGCCCACTAGTGGAAGGACCCCAATGGAAATGACTCACTTTAACTATTACCTGGAGATGATGGGTTATTCTAGGTAATTTACACTGTGATAATTGCACTTAAAGCATACCTGTGTCAATAAACTTACTGGCTTACTAGGGTTATATTTCCTTAAGACACCTGCTGTCCATGTTTACCCAGTAGTAAAATTGGGTGTTAGTTGGCTGGTGTGGGTCGCATCCTTGAGACAAAATTGACCTAATTTGCCTGAAGTGCTCTGCATAACAAGGGCTTTCTATGCTCCAATCATATATGTAAACATATATTGTAACCTTAGCAAAGAAATAAATATTTTATTTATAGTAGTATGTCATTGATGTCAGCTAGGCCTGTAAACCTTGTAAATGTACTTGAAGAAATAAAGATTATTATTATTATTATTATTATTGTTTAATGGCCAGAAGTTAGCAATAGAGTTGTACAAGATAACCCTCATGGGAGGTTCCTTGATGCTGGTGACAGGCTTTTGGCCTAAGCATTTGAACTTTCCTTCCCCTTCCTTGAACAGAACCCGATTGTCACCCGTTCCCAGTATGACCTCTACGGATTCAGTGCTTTCCCCTTTATTAATATGCAGGGTTTTTTTTTCCGAAAGTGTACCACTGAATTCCTACTTAATGGTAGAGGGTTAAGATAACAAAATTTTACTGTGATTTTTAATCCCGGAAGGTTGTCCACCGAGGATAACAAGAAAGTCAGTGCTTCGTCGAGGGGACTGTCTTATTTCCATTGTGGTACTTAATTTTGTCCACCAGGATGCCACCCACACCAGTCCAATAACACCCAGATACTTATTTGTTTGATAGGTGAACGGGGACAGCGGGTGTAAGGTAACTAACACCTAGATACCTACTTACTGCTAGGTGAACGGGGACAGCAGGTATAAGGAAACACGCCCAGTGTTTTCACCCATACCGGGGATCGAACCACGGACACTCAACGTGTGAGGTTCTTGATCATTGGCATTGCAGAAACCACCTCCATTCTCTCATTCCCCAGGAGGGGTATAACCCCTACGGGTTTATCCCTTCACCATAAATATAAAAGTAATAGATGAACGTATATATGGCAACTTGAGTGGAAGATAGCGTCTTAGCGTTGAAGGCAACTTGAAGTCTCCCTGAAACCTCCCTGCAGACCTCAGTGTTGTCTTGACTGTGGTGGGGAGTACTCGTGTGCTGTTCCTCCTCCTCCTCCTCCTCTGCTTTTATATTATTTTTAGTGTCATGACATTGAGATATATATATGTGAGTTACCATTGTGTTGTGTGGTAGACCCTGGAGGGCAAGACTGTACCCGAAGATGATGGTAGGTAGTGTTTGGGCAGCCAGCCACCTGCCCCTACCCGGGCATCTTGCTTCTCCTCACCTCCATCTATACTACTTGCCACCTTCCCTCCGTCCATCTACTACTACCATCCACCTTCCCTCCCTCCATCTATACTACTTCCCACCACCTCCCTCCATCTGTACTACTTCCCACCACCCTCCATCTACTACTCCCACGTCCCTCCATCTATACTACTTTCCTCCATCTATGCTGCTTCCCACCTTCTCTCCTTCCATCTATACTACTTCTCACCACTTTCCTCCATCTATACTACTTCCCTCCATCAGTACTACTTCCCACCACCTCCCTCCTTCTCTGCTACTGCTTCCCACCTCCCTCCATCTATACTACTTCCCACCTCCCCTCTCTCCATCTATACTATTTGCCACCACCACCATCTATACCACTTCCCTCCCTCCATCTGTACTACTTCCCAACTTCACTCCATCAATAATACTACCCAACTTCCCTCCATCAATACTACTACCCAACTTCCCTCCATCAATACTACTACCCAACTTCCCTCCATCAGTACTACTACTCAACTTCCCTCCATCAGTACTACTACTCAACTTCCCTCCATCAATACTACTACCCAACTTCCCTCCATCAATACTACTTCCCAACTTCACTCCATCAATACTACTACCCAACTTCCCTCCATCAATACTACTTCCCAACTTCCCTCCATCAGTACTACTACTCAACTTCCCTCCATCAATACTACTACCCAACTTCCCTCCATCAATACTACTACCCAACTTCCCTCCATCAATACTACTACCCAACTTCCCTCCATCAATACTACTACCCAACTTCCCTCCATCAGTACTACTACTCAACTTCCCTCCATCAATACTACTTCCCAACTTCACTCCATCAATACTACTACCCAACTTCCCTCCATCAATAATACTACCCAACTTCCCTCCATCAGTACTACTACCCAACTTCCCTCCATCAATACTACTACCCAACTTCCCTCCATCAATACTACTACCCAACTTCCCTCCATCAATACTACTACCCATCTTCCCTCCATCAATACTACTACCCAACTTCCCTCCATCAATACTACTACCCAACTTCCCTCCATCAATAATACTACCCAACTTCCATCCATCAGTACTACTACCCAACTTCTCACCATCAATAATACTACTCAACTTCCCTCCATCAATACTACTACCCAACTTCCCTCCATCAATAATACTACCCAACTTCCCTCCATCAATAATACTACCCAACTTCCCTCCATCAATACTACTACCCAACTTCCCTCCATCAATACTCCTACCCAACTTCCCTCCATCAATACTACTTCCCAACTTCCCTCCATCAATACTACTACCCAACTTCCCTCCATCAATACTACTACCCAACTTCCCTCCATCAATACTACTTCCCAGCTCTCCTTCATGCGGGGCCCCTCAAGGAAGGTTCCTTAATGTTGGTGAGGGGCTCTTGATTTAGGGAATTGGATCTATGCTCCAGTTCCCCGAATTAAGCCTGAATGCCTTCCACATCCCCCCCAGGCGCTGTATAATCCTCCGGGTTTAGCGCTTCCCCTTGATTATAATAATAATAATAATCCTTCATGCGGGTGAAGTACTCTTCTTCCAAGGATCCGGAGCTATTCTCCACTTCCTCGGATTAAACCTGATTATCTCCCCCTTCTCCAGGCTCTTTATAGTCCCTACTGATTTACCGCTTCCCATTTAATATAAAGGCCAGACTTTATTTTATTTTATAATGTAACACTGAATAATTTTAGTAGAAATAATATTTTAAACATTTTGAATAATTGTAAAAACAAAAATACTAATTTGAAGCCTCAGTCATTTTCGAAACTTGCCTTTAAATACTTCATTAATAATGCAGAGATGGTCGGTTAATGGGGTTTGAAGACTATCGACTACACTATTCTCACACTGATATATACACTGAGAGATATATTTCTCAGTGTATATATGCTGAGTCCTTATTTTAGATATTAAGGTATTTTGTCTGGTGGTGAAATTTTTACGAGAAGCCATAATGACTAGTGAATTAATAATAATAATAATAATAATAATAATAATCTTTTATTTCTACAAGTACATGTACAAGGTATACAGACCACAGCTGACATCAATGACATTCTACTATGCTGAGCATTTCCAGCAAATTAGGTCAATTTTGTCCCAGGATGCGACCCACACCAGTCCACTAACACCCAGGTACCCATTTTGAACTGATGGGTGAACAGGGACAGGGACAGCAGGTGTCTTATGGAAACACGTCCCTAATGTTTTCCAGCCGTACCGGAGGAGATTCGACCCCCTGACCTCAGTGTGTTAGCTGAGTGAGCTAGCTGTGTACCTGTACCTATATAAACTTAGGAGGATCCCAATGGAAATAAGTCACTTTTGACTTCTTTGGGGTTATCCTAGTGGGGTAATTTACACATATGTTGCTATGTATGATATTTTGTATAACTGTATTTATGTGTTCTTCTACCTAAATAAACTTATAGAAAGAAACACAGAGAACATAAGAACGGAGGAGCGGTTCGTCAGGACCCAGTGATTTATTTGGTTTTATTCAATCTATTTGAGAATCATGTCGCTGGCGACTTCGATCTTACGCAACTGATCTATATTTCTATTGATTTCTGGAATTTCGTTAGTATCTTCCTGCGTGAAAATAGGACACCGGCTTTTCCCACCGAGGTAAAGAAAAACGCATTCACCATCACTCAGTCGATAGTGCCCTTGATGAAAAGGATGACGGGTGCCTAGAGGATACTGAAGGGCTCTTGATTCAAAGAAATGGATTTTAGCCCCCTTTCCTTACCGCATCCTTCAGAGGCAGGGGCTGTACTTCCCTCGCTCAGATCTCAAGACGACTCTCATATTCCCTTCAATCCTTCCATAGATATCTATCTTACGGTGAAAATAAATTCCAAGTGATTTCTAGGTATATTTATCTTATCCTTGAGAAACAGTGAAGGGAATGTTTTATTCGCCAGGGAAAATGTGGTGTATATATAAATATATATATTTTTTATAAAACGAGTCTTGCAGTTGTTCCGGCAGCTTCATGTGACTTTACACTTTATTACAAGAAATGACAAGTTTTAGAACAATTTATATTGGGACAGCGTTCAGCTGTGTAGAGCCATAATACACCAACCTAGTGTCTAGAAAAAAAGTACAGTGATTATAATAATGTCCATATTTCTCTAAAGGGGTGGACCAGTAAGCCAGCGGAAGGCCTCGATCAAATGGCCAAAAGCTCCAGCTGCTGGTCATCATATGACGAAGACCCGCATCAGGAAACACTTGTCCTGTTTCCCGACAAACCTTACCTAACCTAACCCTATCCCCACCTTGGACAAGACCCTGGCCGGGACAGTGCCGGCGAACCTCATCGAATCGAACCCCTATCTCCACTTCCCCTCTCACCCCACAAGAGTCTTACCTAAACTCTTGATCTTGCTCTACACAGCTCTACAAATAGTGAAACGTTGCCCCTAAAGCTTTTTTAACGTGTGCTTTCTCCTTCAGTGGATGTAACTTGGACCTGACTCTTTTGGGCCAGTAGGTGACTTGGACTTGCCTAGCATGAGCCAGTAGGCCTTTTGCAGTGTGTTCTTATGTTAGTACGACATAAATACTATTTTGCTATTTATTTTAATCCTTATTTTGGTCATTGAAACAGCGCTGTATGACCCTTGTAGGTTTAACGCTTAGTTTTGATTGTAATAATGATTTAGGTATTAAAATATAGGCGAATTATGCCCCTTAAAAATCCTCGTGCAATATATTTAAACCTAATAAAGTGCCTGTAGTCGAGAATTAGATAAGTATGGTCGAGGTGAGGTGTAATGTGGATGTGACAGGTGTGGAGTGAGGCTGTGGGTGTGAGTGGTGTGATGTGGGCGTAAGTGGTGTGATGTGGGTGTGAATGGTGTGATGTGGGTGTGAGTGGTGTGGTGTGGGTGTGAAAGGTATAGTGTGGGCGTGAAAGGTGTAGTGTGGAGTGTGAAAGGTGTAGTGTAGGTGTGAAAGGTGTTGTGTGGGTGTGAAAGGTGTAGTGTGGAGTGTGAAAGGTGTAGTGTGGAGTGTGAAAGGTGTAGTGTAGGTGTGAAAGGTGTAGTGTGGGTGTGAAAGGTGTAGTGTGGGGTGTGAAAGGTGTAGTGTGGGGTGTGAAAGGTGTAGTGTGGGTGTGAAAGGTGTAGTGTGGGGTGTGAAAGGTGTAGTGTAGATGTGAGATGTGTCGGTGTCAGAGATATGGTGTGGGTGTAAGCGGTGTGGTGTGGGTGTGAGAGATATGGTGTGGGTGTAAGTGGTGTGGTGGTTTAGAAAGACACGTAAGCAAACACTATGACATATTTATTAGAAAACGTTTCGGTCCTGGGACCTTGATCAAGTGATCAAGGTCCCAGGACCGAAACGTTTTCTAATAAATGTCATAGTGTTTGCTTACGTGTCTTTCTAAACCAACTTGTCGGTATTTATTACCAAGGTTTATACCAAGTGGTGTGGTGTGGGTGTGAGAGATATGGTGTGGGTGTAAGTGGTGTGGCGTGGGTGTGAGATATGGTGTGAGTGTAAGTGGTGTGGTGTGAGTATGAGAGATATGGTGTGAATGTGAGAGGTGTGGGTGTAAGTGGTGTGGGTGCGTGTGAAAGGTGCGGTGAGATAGGTGTGTATTAGGAGTGTGGGTGGCGCATGCTCACTACCTTCATCCTGTTGAAGGCTCGTACCTACCTCCTGCTTACAATGTCTTCCAGGAAAATCTCTTGGTATCATTTCTTTGTATGTATGCATATAGTTATATAGTATGAACAATATATATATATATATATATATATATATATATATATATATATATATATATATATATATATATATATATATATATATATATATATATAATTATATATATATTATATATATATATTATATATATATATATATATATATATATTATAT